ATGGACAAACCTTCTGGTCAGAATAGATCCTAAGGAAGATCATTGAACAAGTACACAAAGATGTTGGTCATACTGTTATTTAAAATAGTTTTTTTTAAAAAGGAAACCTAGGGACTTCCCTGGTGGTCCAGGGGGTAAGACTCCATGCTCCCAATGCAGGGGGCCTGGGTTCGATCCCTCGTTGGGGTACTAGATCCTGCACGCATGCCGCAACTAAGAGTTCGGATGCCTCAGCTAAGAAGTCTGCATGCCAAAACTAAGACCAGGTGCAGCCTAAATAGATAAATAATAAATATTTTTAGCAATAAATAAATAAAACAAAAAAGAAGCCTAATCTAACCAATCTATTTGGGGGCTAGTTCTATAAATCATGGCACACCCATACAATAGAATTCATGCACCTATTTAAATTATTACGTGGGGAATTCCCTGGCAGTTCAGTGGTTAGGACCCTGAGCGTCCAGTACCGAGGGCCCAGGTTCAATCCCTGGTTGGGGAACTGAGATCCCGCAAGCCGCGCGGCATGGCCAAAAAAAAAAAAAATTATGTGGACTTATGGTTATTGACATAGAAAGATGTTACATGAAAAAAACAGGCTATAAATAGCATCTGGAGTATAATTTCATTCTATGAAAGAAAAAATATTCACGCGTGGAGATACATTCAGAGAAACGATTGCATTCGAATACAACTGTGTTCCTGTGGAAGTCATATAACATGTCACTATAACTTGAAATCTGAAAAGACATACAAATCACTAAGCATGCCTCATCTCTGTTTAGGAGGGAGCTGGAATCGGCAGTGGGAAGGGATGGTCTAGTCTATGGTCTGGAGGGGGGCGATGGGGCCCAGGCTCCCCCCCCACCCTCCCCTCCTCCCTCTCCCTCCTCTTCTGCCCCCACCGGGTGCTCCCTACCCTGTTCAGCTGACCAGGCCAGCTGGTTGCTCACTGTCTCCACAATCATGTTGGCAGCGCCTTCATCTTGGAACAGGGCTTGGATCTGTTGCAGGTCACCGGAGAACAGGGCATTGTGCACAGCTGGGTCCCGGCAGGAGCGGCGCGGCCGAGTGAGTTGGGTCCGGGAACTCGAGGGGCACCTTTGGCTCTGGTACTGCTGGGCTGCAGCCCGCCGCCGGTCCTCCCATTCCAGCCACTCCCGCTTCAGGCGGAGAGAGCGCAGGGTGGAGGAGGTGAAGGGGAAGGTCTCCCCTGCCATGGGGAGGGATCCAGGGGTCTGGGCAGTGGCAGCTGGGCAGAGCAGGTTCCCTCAGCCCGACTGCCACCCTTGCTCTGAGGAGCCACCCTGCCCCCAACCCGTGACCCAGAGAAAGGAGCAGCTGAGGCTATAAATAGGCCCTTTGCTGTTCTGGTAAACAGTTTGCCCAGAGTCATGATCTTGGTGCAGAGAAAGTGTTGGGCCAACCCCCAGCCCGCGGCTAGGGACAGCCCCTGCCCCTGCAGATACCCTCCAGCTGGGGAGCCGGCCCTCAGCTGAGCTCCAGGTCCACACCTCCCACTTCTCTGGAGTGAACATCTTGGGTTGGCAGGGTCCGAGGTGAGTGAAACAGTCAATCAGGGAAATGGACGGGACAGGGTCTCTCTGATGCTGTCTGGAGGGCAGACCCCTGCCCAGGAAATAAGGGCAGGTGAAGTCAGAGTTTGAACCCCTCTTCTTGGCATCTGCACATACACACACAGGGCTTAACAGCACTTAAATCACTTTTATATCCATCTTCACTCAGGTGACCATACATATTTTCTGGCTTGCCCGGGTAAACAGCAAGCTTGATTTTGACAATTAATTATATGATCAGGCTGATGATCACAGTCTGACCGCCTCTGAGATGGGTGGCCTTATTTCTGTTTTACTGATGAGGAACTTAAGGCTTAGCGAGGTGAAACCACTTGCTCAAGGTCACAGCTCGTGACGGGGGAGCCAGACTAGGACCACAGTGGGTCTGACTCTGTAGATGGTACACTTTGGTGAGAGAGCCTCTCCCCACCTTCCAAGCAGGACAGCATGGTCCCTAACACTGCCTTTAATGCGTCTTGGTTAGGGGTTTTTTTTTCCCCCCCGCAGCTCCTAAAAGGGCTTACATGCCTGCCTGAGGAGGACCAAGGGCTTGACCTCCCAACTCTGGGGACCAAGGAGACCTTCAAGCCAGAAACCCACTCACTCAAAGTGGCTGTGCTTCCACGAGCCTCTAGGGGGAAGAATGAGGCCGTGAAACAGCACTAGGTGCTGGCCGCCGAGCAGTGAAGGGGAGGGCAGGAGGGAGGTCAGCCCTGGCCCCAGAAGCTCTTCTCAGCCAGTGGGTGGTGGGGCAGCCCCTTGGCCCCTCAGGGTCTGCCTGTCCCCATCCCGCCCTGGCTGCAGGCCATGGCTGCCCCGGTACACACACACACACACACACACACTTTCCCGGTACACACACACACACACACTTTCCCGGTACACACACACACACACACACACACACTTTCCAGCTCCCATTCTCCCATCTTCAGTTACCATCTCAAGGCCTTTAACCTGGACCAGCCCTGCCTCCTACCTGGTGTTCCCTCCTCTGGCCACAACCCCTCTGCTCCACTGCCCAATGGGAAGGATCTATCTAAACAGTTCATTTCCTAGCTTGAAAACGTCTGCTGACTTCCAAGCCCTGCCCTTTCCCACTAAGCCCCATGCCCTGGTTTGGCCTCACATCAGGCAGCTGTCCCCTCACGGATCCTCGCCTTTCCCTCCCATTCCCTCTGCTTGGAATTCCCTCCTGACTCATCCCTCAAAGTCCACCTCAAAGGTCACCTGCGGTGGGAGACACCTGCTCAGGTCGCCCACCCCTGCGGTTCCAGCCACCCCCCAATCCGTGCTCCTGGAGGACCTTCCGTGTGCTTTGTCAAGCCCCTGTCCCCAGGTGCCGTGGACCACAGCCTGCCGCGCTGGATGCGGGCTCCAGAGCAGGACCTGAACGGATTCAGCTGGGGCTCTGGTGCCCAGCAGGGCCTGGCGCACAGCAGATCTTGTTGCGCTGCTGAGTAGCCCTTGGCTCGTCGTGGGCCGGCCTCTCACGTGTAGCACGTTGACTGAGGGCCCCTGTTCTCCGCCGGGGCAGACACTCATCTGCCTGCCCAAGTGGGTGGCAGCAGCCTGGGCTGTTTCCAGCTCTGCCCTTACCCTGCTGTTCACCCACTCTGGCCCCAGCCTCTTCGTGGTATTCCAGGGTGGGGGATCCCAGAGGAGGAATGAGATCGTGCCCAGCGAGGGCTTGGAGATCCTCAGAGAAAGGCGCCCGTTCGATGTTTTAATTGCCCAGCCAACAGCCCAGCTGAGCACCCGGAGCTGGGCTCCCAGGGCTGGGAGCTGGCAAAACGCGACGGGGCCGAGAGGGGCCTTCTCCCGAGGCTCACGGTAGTCATGGTCGGTGGGGCCTGAGGCTGTTCTGACCTCCCCAGCCTCTCTGCAGCTCTTGTCACAGGCCTGAAGGTGCTCTGACTACAGATCAGTCCTCAGAGGTACCATATGTTCAGTCCCCTATCCTTAGCCTTAACTTCCTGAGGGCAGAAAAACTATCCTCAGCATTAACTTCCTGAGGCCTTTACTTCAACCCACACGTGAACCCACAGGGAGCCCGGTTTTACTGGCAGGAACAGTGCCAGGCAACTGGATACCCAGCCTGCCTTCTGGGAGCTCAGAGCCTGTGGGGGGGAATGAAGCACACAAGAAACCAGGGCATCTGTCAGGATCGTGAGCAGCAGAGACCACAGCTCAAGGGGGCTGAGTGCGGGGGGGCACCGCAGGCCAGGGGCAGGGCTGGTTTAGGTGCAGGAAGACCACCCGGCATAGATGGGCGGCTCCGGCCCAGATCTAAGCTACAGAGGTGGAGCTGGGGAGTTAGCAGCACGGGGAAGAGAAAGAAGTGCGTGGTGTGCTCAGGTAGGAAGACCCCGTGAGAGTGTGAAAGGGGTGCTGGTGAATTAGCCCCTTCTTGTTCCTGCGCTTGGGCCACAAAAGCCTTCTAGAACAGAGCCCCACTGCCACCAGCAGCCAGCTGAACATGGAGTTCTTAAAGCACCTGTTCACTTCAGCTTTGAGACTGGGATCCGTGGGATCAGCTTTTCTTTGGAAAAAGGGAGCCTAACCCCTTCTCCCAGAGCCGCACCAAGCCCATTGGAGGTCCTGACTCACAGCTGCCTGGTGAAGGCTGACGCAGAGGCAGAAGAGGCTGGCTGCCAAACTGGGGTCTCTAACCCACACCCCCTCAACCATGTGCTGAGAGAATCTTCCTTTCCTCCCTTCATTCCAGAAAGGAAAACAAGGTTGGTTGGCAACTTGGTATAATTAGACCTTTTACACCCCACCCATGACCCTCGTCCAATTCTTGCCTGAAAAGCGGTACAGAAAAGCTACAGTGGTGAAGAGTTGCTTGGCAACAAAATAAATAAAGTAGTAGTGGACTCTAACCCAAAGTATAAAATAAATATCCATGAGTCCATACTGATATAAATGGGTGGTTGAACAAAAGATAAGGGAAAACAGACCAATCTCCCACGCAGAAGAATTCCAAATAATCCATGTAGATATTCTGCCCTTAAGAAGGTAGAACATAACTCCTCATTCCTTAAGTGTGGGCAGCAGAGTGAATTCCTTCCAAAGGGTATCGTGGGTAAAGGGAGAAAAAGAGTAACTTGACAGTGGAGAAATCTGGCCAATCTGACAAACCCTACTTCAGCCAGGTGATCAAGGTCAACACCAACCCTTGATATGATGTGATGAGAAAAGCACCTTACCTCTGAGGTCTTCCTCCCCCAAACACATAACCCCAGTCTAATCATGAAGGCACACCAGACAAATTCCCATAGAGGGACATCCGACAACATGGCGGACCTGCGCTCCTCGAAGCTGTCAAGGTCATTAAGAAACAAGGAGAGTTGGAGAAACTACCACAGCCAAGGGACACGATGGCTAAATGTAACGTGAGATCCTGGAAGAGAAAAAGGACATCAGGGGAAAACTGAGTAATGTGAATGAAGTATGGAATTCAGTTAATAGTAATGTATCAATACTGGTTCTTTAGTTGCAACAAATCTACCATACTAATGTAAGATGGCAGCAATAGGGGAGACTGGGTGTGGGGTATATGAGAACTCCCTGTAACATCTTTGCAATAATTCTATAAATCTAAAACTGTCTACAAGAAAAAGTTTATAGTTAAAAAAAAAAGGAGAGAGACAGAGAGAGAGAAAACGAGTGGCTTGGCTCTGCTCTGGCCAAGGTACCACCAGCAGGGCAGACAGAACAAGGAGCAGCGAGGCTGGAAACGAGAGGGAGGTGGGTGAAGCAGGCGGCTGCTTTATTTCAGAATAAGGCACCTCAGCCGTCCTCCTGCCCCCGCTCCTGGGAGCCCTGGGCACAGGTGAGCTGGCCAGCTACAGGCCTCAAGAGACGACGCAGAGGGAAGTCTGAGCGTTCCTTCCTTGTCCAGAGGGACAGGTCGCCACTGCTGTGGTGCAGCTCCTCTTAGCTCCTCAGCTGCCCGCGGACTAGGGAGTAAAGGGACCAGGCCCAGCATCCTCTAAATTCAAGCTGAGGTGGGAGAACGGCACACCTTCCCTGTTGGAGGAGGAGACGGAATGTGCACCCGAGGGCTTGGAGGACAGTAGAGCTGGAGTTGATCCTGGGCAGAGTTCCGGCTGCCAAAGGAAGACCCAGAGTGACGGCACTGCAGAACCCGAGGGACGAGGGTGTTCTCAGGGTAAGTGTCCAGGGTGGGAGCAGCCAGAGAAGTCCCGGAACTTTGTTTTCCAATTGTGTTGGTCTTCTCTCTCCTGGGTGCTGAGAGGCTGCCGGCTCATGGGGGGTGCCCTGCCTTGGGGGAGTCCCAACTGCTGGTGCCACAGAAGAAGTCCTCAGGGAGCTCGCTCAGGAGTCCATCTAGGTCATCTGCGGGGGGGGGGGGGGGGGGGGGGGGGGGGGGGGGGAGACTTAGTGATAATATTAGGGCTCCACGTGACTCAGAGCCAAGGCTCCCGTCCCTCGGGAGGGCTGTCAGGAAGGTGGCTCGCCCAGCCGCCAGCACCCACACTGACGGGCCTGAGGCCGGCCCGCCTTCCACCTCCCCTCTGCCCCCCACATACCCACACACAACAAAGGCAGAGGCAAAATGCCCGGGCCACTTTGCTAAGAAAGAGGCTCCCCTCGGGCCTTCATGGCTCCTCTTTCCATCCAGAGGCACAGTGCCTGAGCAGAGGTCCCCTAGTGCAACCTCTGCGTTGGACAGAGGGAGAAAGAAGACCAGGAAGAGTCACTAGATGTGTTCAGAATCACACAGTTCATTAACCTGGTTTCTCATCTGCAGAGTGGGAGACATCATCGTCCCCTCCCCCGAAGTGCCTCGTAGGCAGAGGGGACAAAAGTAACTGTCCCCGACTACAGTTCTTGGATGGGGTGCTCCTGTCTGAGAACTTGGAAACAGAGCTGACCTCAGTAAGCCCTACTGCTACTCTGACTGTTAACAAGGGCAGCTAACACGTACCGGGGGCATGCTGGGCGCCAGCACAGGGCTGCCCACGTTACACTCATCACTTCATTTCGGTCTCACGGGGCCCCTTTAAAGGGCATCTCGTGTAGTTCATGTTAGAATCCCCACTTTACCTGAGAGAACAGGGTTTACAGAGGTCAACAACTTCCCCAAGTAGCATCCCTTTGACACCAGAGCCCTAGCTTCCAACTAGAAAACTCCCGCTGAATGGACGGGATCACGCAGCCCTAGAGTCAGTCCGGCTGGAAACTATACCTGCAGAGGCCAGCTCCCACTCGATAAACACTGCTGCTGGAAGGACAGAAGTCAGTTTGGGGGCATTCAAATTTAATTAGGGTGACCAGCACTGTACTCAGGGAAGCAGGACTGCAATTTGATTATAACAAAAAAAGTTGCCCCTCACTAGCTACACTGTGACCGTCTGAAGAAACACTAGGTTAAATGAAGGGGAGTGAGCCAGCCAGTGTGAGCCTAGGAAAATGGGAATCATAGCAGGAATCCGCATTTGTGTCTCCTAGTGCTGCCCGGCCACCACCAGCAGCTGCCTGCCCGGCAGGTCTGTCCCTACAGTGGAGATATGACACCAACCACACATTCTACAGGCAACTCGCCTCACGCTTATACTGTGACCACCAGCAACCTTCTGATGATGGTTCGGCTTGTCATCAAGCTGACTTCCAAGGAGACAGTGCAAGATTCTACAGAAGATTCCAGCATACAGGGTAGATACTGTTTCATACAATATAAAGAAATGGGCTTTGTGGTTTATCCATTGGTCTACTGTGAAATTTGGTCAACGTCGCGACACCTATCCATAATCCCATGAACTTTGGGGCCAAACAGGGTTGAATCAAAGAGCTAAGGACCAGACCTGGACTGTGTTAGCTTCACCCGGGTAAGGCTCCCTCCTGAGGAACAAGTTGGCCCTCCCCTCAAAGGTCTGTATTTGGGCCTCTCAGGTCTGTATCCTGGTCCCACCCTAACCTCATGGATGTTTGACCCCTCAGCACCGCCTGGAGGGCCTTGGAGCTTAGTCACTATGGGGAAATCTGCCTCTGAGGTCTGGCCATCAGGCCACAGAAGACTCAAGGATGGTGCCAGTCTACCTCCCCCTGTGGCTAACAGCACATGGCCTGGAAACTGGGGCGCTTTGGTTCACATTCTTTGTGTTAATTAGTTTGTGGCCTGCAGCCTCGCCAGAGAACACACCACATCGGATTTCTGTTAAGATTCTGTAAGATCCAAAGACTCACAGGAGGAGGAACAATCTGGCTGAGCTATTCAAGAGGAAATAGAAGGAGAACCTCTTTTGCTCCTGGGTGGGCTGACGGCCTTACCTGCTTCTGGGAGTAGTTCTTTCTCAGGTGATGCCCCTGCCTCTGGGTTCTGTGCTATTCTGAGGCCTTTCCCAGGCTTCTCGGTCTCATGCTGGAGGCGTTCATGGAAGCTTCCTGGATCCTGGGGACAGAGGATCTGGTTACCAATACCTGTGCCCCTGAAATCCTCTGGACAGTTCTGCCCAAACAACCTCAAAGGAATAGGTGGGGGCTCAGGAAAGACAGGAGAGAGGAACGTGGCAGCGGCCAGTCACCCAGGCCCATGCTGTGGGGAGGGGGCTGAAACGCCAAACACCCCAAACAGCAGACAGTTAAAAAAATAAAAGAAAAACAGAAAACTTTTGGCCAACTTTCTTTTCTAATTCTGCTGGTATCTGATGTTTTAGGGAATCTCTATAACTGGAGCAGAGAGTGAAGACGCCATTCAGAATTATGCTGAGGAGTTAGCCTGGAATTAAAAATGAGCTGTTAACAATCCCCAAACTAACTAATATATGAACAGGTAATTAAAATTAGTAATTAAACCTGTTAACCATGGTTAGCCCTAGGGAATGGAAGTGGAGAAGGGTCAGTTTCACATTGCTTTATTCTGTACAATTTTTTTCAACAAGTACGGATGACTTGACATTTTTTTTTTTTTGGCCACACCTTGCAGCGAGGGGCATCTTAGTTCCCTGGCCAGGGATCGAACCCGTGCCCCCTGCAGTGGAAGCACACAGTCCTAACCACTGGACCACCAGGGAATTCCTGGGGTGACTTGAAATTTAAAAGGAAATCAAGATGGGGCTTCCCTGGTGGCACAGTGGTTAAGAATTCACCTGCCAATGCAGGGGACACAGGTTCGAGCCCCGGTCTGGGAAGATCCCACATGTCGTGGAGCAACTAAACCCGTGAGCCACAACTACTGAGCCTGCGAGCCACAACTACTGAGCCCATGCGCTGCAACTACTGAAGCCCGTGCGCCCTAGAGCCTGCGCTCCGCAACTAGAAGCCACTGCAATGAGAAGCCTGCGCACTGCAGTGAAGAGTAGCCCCCGCTCGCCGCAACTAGAGAAAGCCACGCGCAGCAACAAAGATGCAACGCAGCCAAAAAAATAATTAAAAAAAAAAAAATGGAAATCAAGATGCTTTTTTTAGAAGTGGGGTGATATTGAGAGAATGAAGAAGGTTAGGGAAAAAGATGAGAAGCAGCAAGTTAGAACTAAACATGTAACTTGACTAGATGTCATCTAGTCTAACCCACTCATTTTATAGACAAAGCAACAGCAGGGGAGGGGACAGGACTTGCCCAAGGTCATGTTACAAATTCCCAGCAGAGCAGGGCCATGACCTAGGTCTCCTGACCCCCAGGCCAGGTCATGACGACAACCCAGGATCCCAGGAAGGTGGGGGTGGCCACAGACGGGACACTGTGTGTCAAGTCAAGGCCGGGCCCTGCACCCTCACCCTGGAGTGGAACTGCCTGGAACCCAGCCTCCCTTGGCTCCCAAAGGAGTTCTGGGCTGGCGCCCCCTCACCTAGCAGAGGTGGAAACCAGGAGGGAAGATACAGAGCAAGTGCTGGCTCACCTGACAGACCATCTGTAGCTGTCTGTTCTCTGCACTGCCACCTGCAGCAAATCCAACCCTCAGTCACTCACTGAGGGCCCCACCCCATCGTGGACCCTCAACTCGGTTAGTTCTCAGGTGACTCCCATGCTCTCCAATGTTCAGGTCTGCCATCAGACACTCAGGGATCCACCCAGAAGCCAGCTGCTCCTCTAGGTCCTGTTACTGTGCCATCTGGCAGGTGGCTGGACCAGGGACAGGAGGAGATGGCCCTGTCCCCAAAGGGCATCTTTTCACCTCAGGGCAACTGTCCACTTCACATCCCTGCTCCCCAGGATAGAGGAGGGGAAGAAATCAGAAGACCCAGGCGGAAAGCGGCCCTACCCATGCCCACTCCATCTTGCTCCTCTTACCTTGGGGAAGGGCTGCGATGGCTTGAGGAAGTTCCCATCCCCAGAATCTGGGCTATAAACGTGGACCAGGTTGTTGGGCGTCACGTTGAGGTAGTGATTTCGGAGTGAAGGAGAGAACACTCCGATCTGGAGTAGAGAAAGGGGGGGAAGGTGTCCAATGTCCTGACAGAGCGCTAGGTGCTGCCGGACGGCCACCCAGTCCCGCCTGCCTCACCCTTGCTAGCCTCTGCACCAGGGTCACAGAAATCACTCCTGCCACAGCCCTGCTGCCAGAGTAGCACTGCGTACCCCATCCTCGGCCCCTCACAGCACGACCTCCACCCCCATCCGCCCCCTGAAGGATGGCAGCCAGGCCTTTACTCGGCTCCAGCGAGCCAAGGGCTTGCACTGGGGCAGCCACTCTCTGCCTGGGCCCTGGGAGGGCAGGGAGCCAGAGAGACAACCCGGGGCTTTCTCCAGGGCGGGAGGCGGGAGAGCAGGTCCCCACCTGGAGCTCCCGTACCTGCTTCAGCAGCAGCACTGAGCCAGGCTTCAGCTCATTCTGGCGTGTCTCCAGCAGCAACCTGTGCACCGTGCCCTGCATCTCTCCTGCAAACACCACACCGCCCATCAGTATCAGGGCCAAGGGCAGCACAGTGACTGGCCTGGGCCCCGGCTGGGAAGGGGGCTGGACACTGCCTCAATTTTCCTAACTGCAAATGGAGAGGGCGGCTCCTCCTCACCTCCTGACCTCAATGCAGCCACTCGTCAGACACTCCCAGGACTTAGCTCCTCACCCGTGGGGTCCTTGAAAACTGCACTGGCGTCCACTGTGCTCCGAGTCAGGGACTTGATCATCACGGCCATGTTGGGGACTTTGTTCCTGGGCAGCTGCTTCAGGGCTGCCTGGTTACAAGGAGAGGCATTTGCTGAGCCAGCCACGTCCCACCTGTAAGGTTCCCAAGTGTGCCAGGGCAACCCAGGGAGGGGGGCAGAGCACTGGTGTGGTGATGGTCTTCCTTTTCAGAGGGCCAAGGGGCAGTCTACAGGGCTCAGCCCATCTCCCTCTGGCAGACCTGAAGCTGGCAGGCCTTTCATTTGTCTGCCCTGCCTCCTTTCTTTTGTGTGTTTATGTGTGTGTATTCATATAGCGCTCCATCTCACAGGCCACAGGCAGGAATACGTCAGCACATGTACTAACGTGCGTCTGCACGTGACCTTTGACCTCTGGGGAGCTCTAGGGGTAGCAGTGTGTTTACCCTACCCCATTCAGGGCCCAGATGTGTAGAGACATGCCCATAACCCACCTCCACCTATGCCAGATACTGTGAAAAGGCAGGTGAGTGGAAGATACAACCAAAGGGGCTTCATGTTGCCACTCAGAGACAGGCCTGGGGTAGCAGGGAGCAAACAGAGAGCCCCTTTCCTAAGGTGGAGCAGGTCAGGAGGTTGGTGAAAGGGATAACAATGGTCTTCCCTTTGGGTCTCAGCACCCAGGACCCTTACCTTCCGCAGCACCATGATGATGCTGTAGGTACAGAGGAAACAGGTAGGGTCTCTCTCATCCAGGCCCAGAGCAGATTTCATGGTCAGCCAGGGCCCTCGCCCAAAGTCCTCCTCCACCGATGCCTGGGAACTAGTAACAATCTGGCACAACAGAGCAGAAGGGGAGCCTGCATTAACAGGTCCGCTTTGCTAGAGGCCTTGACTGAGCTGGGATAGAGGGGTGGGAGAGCAAGGGTGAATTCCCTGCAGCACGGTGGCCACATTCTCTCCCTTCGTGTATCTCCAAGTTCAGAAAATGGTGTGTGCAACCTTGTGGCATATCACATCTTTCACTGAGAAGCAATAGCAAAGGTACACTAGCAAAAGTACTTTCACTGAGGCATTTGTTTACTTTAAATCAGGCCGACTTTAATTACATTAATGCAAAAGGCTATCTATGCTTGTCTCTTACAATGGACTTGCAAAGTCTTAGGGCTAGGGAGCTCCCACATATATTTATAGGCTTCCAGGCAATTTTGAAACGAATTATATTTTATCTGGGATGCCTCTGGCTTTAACTGTTCACCTTATTATATTAAAAAATGCTTTGGGACCCGTGAGCCATGGCCGCTGGGCCTGTGCGTCCGGAGCCTGTGCTCCGCAACAGGAGAGGCCACAATGGTGAGAGGCCCGCGTACCGCAAAAAAAAAAAAAAAAAAAAAAAATGCTTTGAATCCAGGTGAATAGTTATTGCTTTGGAGCTGAAATGGACTGGTGGATCTGCAGAGCTACAGCAAAGAGAAAAACTTCTAGAGAGAATTAAAAGCAAAAGTGGGTCTGGGAGCAGAGCAGGTCAACCAGAATCCCAGGGAGGAGGGAGGCTGGGTCTCACCCACCAAGAGGGAACCCACCAGAGGCAAGATGAAGCCAGATCCTTCCCAGCTTGATTCCCAGAAACCTGAAAGGCAGGGTTCCTGAGATACAATTTCGACAACTGTTACACTCTCCTCCTCTGAGGGAAGATGGAGTTAGCTGGGCCTTTCTTTCTTAGCTGGGAAAGAAGGCTGGACTCATGGTATCAGTTCACACCCCTCTGGCATCAGGATAGGCTTCACTTTATGCCAGGAAAATTGCCACCTCCCCAAATGCCCTGTGGTGTATGACCCCAGGGAACGGGCCGAGCAGCACAGACGCTGATCCTCAGCTACTGAAACATGTAGGGATGTCCCTCACTCTTAAACAATCCCCAGGAAGTTAACATTTGCATGGAATTAGTTACCTCTGTCCGGAATTTAGCCAGAGCACCATGAGTCGGAGTCTGGGGCGTGGAAACCATGATGTCGTCCAGATTTTTCCCACTGTGCTACAAGGGGACAGAGGAGGAGAAGGCAAGAGCAAGCTCAGCAGCTGTTATTTACAAGTACAGCTTCTTGTCTGGGTTACACAATGAGTTCAGGAAACTACCAGGGACAATTAACACATAGTACATCTCTCCTGAGGAAGTCTCAGGAGCCTCGTTGGCAGCTCAAAAAAGATGCTTTGGGGATCATTTTGGGAGTGTGAGGAAGCTAGAGCTGGCCCAGGAACAAACCCCAGGGCTTCCTGAAGGGGGCGATGACTTGAATAGAGAGGCCTGAGATGAGTAAAAAGATGTGCAGCTTTCCCCACACCCCTTCTCAGGGACCTCATCCTTCCCTACAGAGGTCCATCCCAGGTCTCCTTGGATTTCTCTTAAAAGTGCCAGGGAAGAGCAAGCTAACAGGTAGGAATCTTTTCAAACACCCTTCAAATGTGAGGAAAGGGGGTAACCTATCACAACCAGAACAGATCCTCGGAGTCCAATTATCTGGGATCTGATCCAAGAGTAGTTTGATGGACCCTGTCTCTCCACTGCTGCCGAAATCTACACACGCAGCTCAGCCCCAACTCCCCCACACTGACCCCACACCAGCTATGAGATTCTGTGGCTCTCCCAGAGCATCTGTGCCTTTGCACACGCTCTCCCGTCTTTCCACTGCTGAAATGTCCTCCAAGACACAGCCTTCTGACACACACCTCCGTAAACCTCCTACTCACCCCTCCAGAGCCCACGCAGCAAGCCCAAGGAGCCCAGTGTCTCCCCAGCACCCAGGGAATGGCCTCTACTCTCCCTGTGCCTTTTATGTGTAATCGTTTGTGTCTGCTTCTTCCACTCTCCTGGAAGCTCCTTAGGACGGGAACTATTTCTATGTTAATCTCTGTATTCTCAGGTCCAAGCAAAGTGCCCAACACATACCCAGTCTTTAGCAAATATAAGTGAATGAGTCTTTCTGCCCTGGTGCTAGGAAACAGTAGATGTTCAACAAACGTATGGAAATTGTGACATTCTCAAGCCTTAAGCATCTCGCATGTGGGTTTTCAAGCATTCAATTCTTCCCACTTCTTCTGACTTCCTCCACAGCTTTGGAAACGCTCCCTCTCTGCACTTCCTTCCTCCCCTTCCTGGGGGGGCGTGAAGATCCTCTGGGACTCTGCTGCTCTCCTGGGCCCCCAGCAGCCTGGGGAGCTCAGGCTCTGGCCAGAGAGAAGGCGTCACTCACCTGGCGAGGCAGGAGCCCTGCTGGGCCGGGGAAGCGGCGCGTTTTGGCGCGGGTGGAAGTGCAAGTGGGCTGCTGGGGTGTCCGGTTGGCAGCAGTGACCAGCCGCACCAGGTGGTTCGTGACGATGGGCGTCTGCAGAGCAGCTTGAGGGACTGGGGAAGGACGGGGGCCCTTCAGGGTGCTGACAGGAGACTTGACAGAAGATGCTGGAGCTCGGGGCTGGAAGGGCCCCTGAGGAAATAATCCAGAGATAGTCCTTGAGGGAGTAGCACAGCTTGAGTTGGGAGTTTGTGGTGTAAGAAAATGAGGTTTGCCAGTTAAGCAGGCATTTGGAGACGGGAATGGCTGACCAGGGAAATGATTTTGAGGGCTGCTCTGAACGAGCCTGCCAGCAGCTTGGAGAGGCTGGGGTGCTTGAGGAGGGGGACCACCGGGAGAGACTTCCCAATGGGGCTGCTGACCGCGAACCACTGAGGCAGTTGGGACAGGAAGGTTACCCGTGGCACCAGGCCTCAAGTGGGACTGTGGAGTCCCACAGTGGACAACAGGATCCGGGGGCACATCCCGAGCTGACGGGATACCAGCTATGTGGGTTGCAGGCATGGGCCCCTTTTGGCAAGGTCTGCTCAGATCAGCTGCCCGGGCCTTTTTAGCCAATGTTGAGTCCTCCCGCCGCCAGGTGGGCAGGATTCCTGTGGCCTCACCGCTAACTCCAAGTTCCAGCTCCATGCTTGCCAGGACCTTATCAAATTCATCTTGTTCAGGCCCCTCAAAGCCACCAATCACCTGCTGTTTGCTCTTGAAGGTGAGCTGGGGGTGGGAGACTGAGGACTGGGGTCTTACTGGGGTCTCACTGAGCACTTCTGTCAGTGTCACTCTTCCCTGATTGCCAGTCCAGCTGCTGGACATTGAGACAGGCCTTAGGGGAGCTGTTCCTGTGGAAGGTGGACCTTCAACGGCCCTGGGCATGCCAGAGGTAGAAAGGCGGAGTCCCAGGGCTGGCAGGCCCGCAGCCTCTGAAGGAGCAGTGGGGCATGGCAGTAGCTGGACCTCCTGTGGCCGAGAAGAGACAGGTCGCAGGCACCCAGCATTCACAGGCCGTGAGCCAACGAACTGGTTCTCTGCATCCTCCACCGCCGACAAGAAATCCTACAAAGAAGCAGAGACAGCAGGTCTTGGCATCTGGAAATCAAGAAACACTCTGCTTTCACTGTTTCGGGTATGTGGTGTGTCTGTGTGTGCAGGTACTCGCAAACAAGAAGCCAAGGTGTGAAAGGCAGTGGTGGACTCTCTCACCACCTTTGACCTTGCCCAGGAGCCCACAACGAGGCTTCTACCAGACGCATTCTAAGGCTAAGTCTTCAGGTAGCTTCTCTCTTTCTTCAGTCTCAGGTGGGGGGTGTGGAGGGGTGGTGGCGGCAGTTGGGGGAGCAGTAGGAGAAGCAAAGGAACCAGGTCACCCAGGAGTCAAACAAATCATCCAAGGTCACACACCCATCTCAAGGAAACTAGCTTCGTGGTGTCGAGCCTGTGCACTAGACATCTATCCATCTGGTCCTGCTGCCTGTCCTCCACCCACTCCTCATCCCCACCACACACACACACACACGCACACGCACACGCGCACGCGCACGCACACGCTTAGTCTTCAGTAAGCCAGAGTCCTTGGAGCCTGCAAAATAGATAGAAGTTAAATATAGCTTTTCAGGCAGGTAAACGAAGTATGGATTCCGGTTGGGAAGCAAGGGGAGACTGACACCTTCAAGAGCAACAGACCTGTTCCGAAGGTGTCAGAACTGCTGATTTAACTGACAGGAAGGTCCCCTCCACCCCCACCCCCCGCTGCTGCACTGGACTGTCCAGGCTAGAGAAAGGATCTTTCTTGCTTCGTGTACTATCAGGAGAGTAGCATACTCTAACAGGACTACCTTAGGACTTAGTAATAATAATATTATAATTACAGCAGCAAGAAAATCCTGATGACCCTGGGAGGTGATGCAGCCCTTTTCCGCTGAAGAGCTCACTCTCAGACATGATGTCATCTGTCTTGGGAAGGGGGAAAGGGACTGGTCATGGAACAGAAACTTGAGCTGTCAGAGTCCTTCACTCTTAATTCCATTACTAGCCTAGCAGTCCTACCATGACCTGGTAAGACCCAGGAGGGTCATTTTTTTCAGCCCATAATTACACATCTCCAAAGCTGAAAGACAAAGACAAGGACGCATATCTCCTTGACAAACCTGGCAGTTTTGAATTATTTGTAAAAACAAAAATCAAGTCCCCAAGTGATAACAAAACATCTAACATTTGAAAAACCTCACTGGGTGCCAGGTACCATGTAAACATTTTACCAGAATTCTCTCCATGATTTCTCATGATGACCCTATGAATACGTACTATTATTGTCCCTGTTTTACGGATACAGAAACGGAGACTCAGAGAGGTTAAGTAACTTCACAGAACCAGGACTGGAACCCGTAAGTGCCTTTGTCACTATGTCTTGGGGCCTCAATGAATGAGACAAGCCAGAGATGGAATTTTAAGAGGTCTGAGGAAGGTCTGTTTTTCCCTTCAAACCTCGGGTTCCAAAAGCCTCAGAGGAAGGGAAGCATGGGACTGTGGCTGCCAGAAGGGCCCCTGGTGCAGCATTCGCCATCTCACTAGGCACCAATTAGGCATCCGGACAAATTCTAAACGTGATTTTTAAAGCAAATCACTGGGAGACAAAAAAGTAGGTTTGAATGGCTTGTCATTGATAAACTAGAGCAACTCTAGTCTATAAATGTAGTTTAATAGTTTCCATGTACATTAGACTGGAGTCAGGAGGCCATCCTGGCTGCTGGTGTCGTAGTCTTTCTTTTTCATCTATTTATTTTTTTATTTATTTGGCTGCGTTCAGTCTTTGTTGCCGCACCGGGCTTTCTCTGGTTGCATCGAGCAGGGGCTACTCTTCGTTGCAGTGCGCGGGCTTCTCATTGCAGTGGTTTCTCTTGTTGCGGAGCTCAGGCTTTAGGCACGTGGGCTTCAATATTTGTGGCACGCGGGCTCAGTAGTTGTGGCTCGTGGGCTCCGGAGAGCAGGCTCAGTAGTTGTGGCACACGGGCTTAGTTGCTCTGCGGCATGTGGGATCTTCCTGGACCAGGGATGGAACTGGTGTCCCCTGCATTGGCAGGCGGGTTCTTAGCCACTGCGCCACCAGGGAAGTCCCTGGTGCTGTATTCTTAAGCAATTTAATTTACCTTTTGGAGATTTACTCACTTAAATCCTGTTTCTTTCTGAAAAGGATTTGAGATAGCAATTTTGGGCCTCCTAGATGAAACTATATCTGTTCGATCTGAGTGGGAAGACAGCTGTGCAGATCACTAGTTCAGCAGTCTCTGGCTGCACCCAGAGATTAGAAATACCCCTGCCTGCGCCCATTCCCAGAAATTCTGATGTAACTGATACGTGGTAGGGCCTCGGCAGAGGTGATTCTAACATGCCAGCTTCAGATCTAGTCTAACGTGTCATCTTCTGAGGAGAGAGCGGGAAGGGAAGAATGTTTATGGCAGAAGAACGGCCATCATGTGTGATAGGAGAGAAAATGGAAGGCCACAGAATGCAGTACTTTGCCCTGGCTCAGGTAGCCAGTTGGTGACCCCAGGCCTCCTGCTGTCCAGTAACTGTGCTGTCTCTGACTCTCCCTAAATTTTCTTCCCACATCAAGTACATCATCGTGGGGCTTCCCTGGTGGCTCAGTGGTTAAGAATCCGCCTGTCAATGCAGGGGACACGGGTTCGAGCCCTGGTCCAGGAAGATCCCACATGCAGCGGAGCAACTAAGCCCATGTGCCACAACTACTGAGCCTGCGTTCTAGGGCCCGTGAGCCACCACTACTGAGCCCACATGCCTAGAGCCTGTGCTCCACAACAAAGAGAAGCCACCGCAATGAGAAGTCCACACACCCCAACAAAGAGCAGCCCCCGCTCGCTGCAACTAGACAAAGCCCGCCTGCAGCAACGAAGACCCAACGCAGCCAAAAAATAAATGAATAAATAAATAAATTTATATTAAAAAAAAGTATGTCATCGTGAAGGTGAATCCAATCATCTACGTGACACAGCTTCCAGGCAAGGGCCCTTATAATTTAAAGGATGACAGTTAAGCAGCTCATCTTTCTGGTTTTTCATTTGTTTCTAAGACAGTTAAGTGGGTTGTTTACATTTCTCATCATTTCTCAGCCTCTCACAGACAAAAAAAGATATACATGTCAAGTAAAAGGAAACTTGGGTTCTGGGCCTGGGTGTTTACATCTTAAGACCTTCTCTGCCATCTCTGTTCACCAACACTTTTTTACCTCATCTTCAAACTCCTCTTCCACAGCAAACAGCTTCTGCAGACTGCATGCCTGAAAGGAAAACAAAGCAATTGAGGTTGGAGGAGAAACACCGTTTGCAAGTACATTCTGTCCTCACTCTGCTTTTTCCCAATTCTAACAAGACCATCAGGTTTACTGTTTTCTGTTTGTTTGTTTTTCTGCTAGTGTTGGGGGAAGGAATAAGGGATGAGGAGAGAAGAAATGGGATTTACTTAAAGACTTAGATGACTTAGAATCCTTTCTTGTAAAATAATTCACTCAGGTCCATTTGCATCAATCTTTTTTTTTAAGATTTATTTATTTGGTGGTTTTTTTTTTTTTTTTGGCTGTGTTGGGTCTTCGTTGCTGCGCGCAGGCTTTCTCTAGTTGCGGTGAGCAGGGGCTACTCTTCGTTGCAGTGTGCAGGCTTCTCATTGTGGTGGCTTCTCTTGTTGCAGAGCATGGGCTCTAGGCACGCGGGCTTCAGTAGTTGTGGCACGTGGGCTCAGCAGTTGTGGCGCACGGGCTTAGTTGCTCCACGGCATGTGGGATCTTACCAGACCAGGGCTCGAACCCTTGTCCCCTGCATTGGAAGGCGGATTCCTAACCACTGCACCATCAGGGAAGCCCTGCCTTAATCTTGTAATAAGAGGGAGGAAGCAAAGAGAAGACTGCCCACGGGAGCCTGCGTCATTCTTTAGACCCAGCACTGTGCAGTGGGCCTAAGGATTTTGCAACATCCCAAAGGTTTGGCGTTTGGAACCTTTGTCAAACATAACGGACACTCCCATAAATCCAAGCATGCCCCAGCCTAGTGGCCTTGATTCTGAGAGTCAAGCCAGTAGTTTTTATCTAATCCAACACCCAAAAGCTAGGGTCCCAGGAGGGTGGGATGCCTCCCAGTCCACAGTTCAGTTCCTTCTTTCTGGGCAGCAGGGCTGCTGTGGCCAACATTAAAAGTGTCTCACTCCTAGAGTCAAGGGCTGTGCCTAACCTCAGACGCCACAGCAGCAAGAGCTATAGTTAGGGAGACCTATCCCGGAATATCAAGGATCAGACTGGAAGGGTTAGGGGGAGAAGGAGGGCCCAAGAGGCGTGACGTTTGAGCACACCGGGAAGGATGAACAGGAGTTCTTCAAGATGAAATGGAAGGCAAGAGGCAGGAAACTGAGGCCCAGAGGGAGGTGAGTGGAGAGGCCTTCCCTGAGGGTCCGGGCGTGTCCATGTCGAGCCCTGACTAGGGCCCAGGCCTCCCGACCCCACCGAGCTCTCTCCTAAACCCTAACCCGGCCCTGCAGCTCGCACGGGGGAGGGGCTGGAACCCGGAAGGCAGGTCCTTGCGGCCAGGAGACCGGGCGGCCGGGTGGTCCCAGGCAGGGCATTACCATGGCGACGGCCGGTAGTCTCCGGCCGCGGCTTGGCCGGGTAGACTCCGACTCTAGGGGTCACCGGGGCCTCGGCCTTGGTCCAGGTGGCAGGGTCAGAGTCCGGGCGACAGAGTCTCTGGGGCGAGCTCGGAGAGAGGCGTCTTTGCAGCCCAGGTGGCGGCCGAAGGTGGGTGGTCGGGAAGCTGCGGCTGGCGTCCTAGTCCGCTTTCGAAGCCGCCGCCACTCAGCGTCTCCGCCCTCTTAAAGGGGCAGGTCTATTTCTATCCCGCCGACACAAAGGCCCTTCACCGCAGTCTTCCGCCCCGGCCTTAAAGGGAAACGAATGAGCTCTCGGTCGCCCCCCAGCGGCCCCTAGGGCCCAATCCGCTTGTTCAATGCGCGCTCAGGTGAGAGCAAGGTTGGGAATTTTGGGGCCCATTGCATCCCATCCTGCCCACCCTCCTCTCTTGTGTTAAGCATACTAGGGACTGAGTACTACAGCGTGACTCTCATTCACACCAGAATCTACCCTGTTGGTTTGTCTGTCTGTTCATCTCTCCATCCATCCATCTATTCTTGCCACGCGTATATTAAGCAAGGTATTCTCCGTCAGGCTCTTTTCATCCTTCATGTTTCAGCTTAGATCTCAGATCTTCCCTGTCACCTTATCTCTCAAGTAACATCCCTCCCCCCATCACAACGCTTAATTTCCTTCACAGCATTTTTCATTATTTATAATTGTCATGGTTTACATCTTTTAAAAAATATTTATTTATTTATTTAATTTTTTTGTGTGTGGTACGTGGGCCTCTCACTGCTGTGGCCTCTCCCATTGCAGAGCACAGGCTCCGGACGCGCAGGCTCAGCGGCCATGGCTCACGGGCCCAGCCGCTCCGCGGCATGTGGGATCTTCCCAGACCGGGGCACGAACCCGTGTCCCCTGCATCGGCAGGCGGATTCTCAACCACTGCGCCACCAGGGAAGCCCAAAAATATTTATTTATTCATTTTTTGGCTGCATTGAGTCTTAGTTGCTGCACTCGGGATCTTTCGTTGTGGCGCAATGGGCTCTTCATTGCGTCGCACGGGCTTCTCTCTCTAGTTGTGGCGCAGGCTCAGTAGTTGCCGCGCACAAGCTTAGTTGCCCTGCGGCATGTGGAATCTTAGTTCCCCAACCAGGGAAAGAAGCGGCGTCCCTGCATTGCAGGGCAGATTCTTAACCCCTGGACCACCAGGGAAGTCCCATGATTTACATCTTTACTGTCTGTCTTCCTCACTAGAATATGAGCCCCGTGAGCGTAGGGACCTTGTCTGGCTTGTTCAACTTTGTCTCCCAGCACTTAGAACAATGACCCATAGAGTTATTGAATGAGTGACACAGCGACTACTATTTAACGGGCACAGTGCTTGACACTGGAGATGAAGAAATGAATGACTCCTTGTGCTCTCAAGTTCATGAACAAGTCAGGGAGGGAATTCCCTGGTGGTCCAGTGGTTAGGACTATGTGCTTTCACTGCCATGGACATGGGTTCAGTCCCTGGTTCGGGAGCTAAGATCCCACAAGCCGCACGGTGGCCAAAAAATATATAAAATAAATAAATAGAATATGAACAAGTCAGGGAGATACAGATCAAAAGATAGAGTCCAGGAGAGCTGTGCAGACAGATGGGCAGGGGCCCAGAGATCTGGGAAGGCCAGCTCTTATCACTAAAGCCTACTGTGGTTACTGATTCAGCCCAACCTCAGTTTCCCTTTTTGCTTGTCACAAGAGAGATAGTCAGAGAGACAAGAGTTGCATGGTTTTGAGGACTCAAAAGGCAGGAGGAAGGTAGCTGACTCGAGTTCTTAACAATCTGATCTGAACCAGCCACGGATCTTCCCTAGGGTAGCCTGCTTGGTCTGGCCTGACCACTGGGCAGCCTATGGCTTCCATCATTACTCCATGTGGACCAGCTAACCTGTCATATGTCAGAATAGAGGCCAGAATGGTGAAGAGAGAGGAAACCTGGACTTCTCATTCTCATTCAAGTTAGGAATTCCTTCAAGGTCTCTGTGCTTCTGAGCTAGAGGACAAAACCCCAACCCTCCCATTTACAGCCCCCCTCTCCTCCCAGGAATCCCAGGCACAGCTCACCCTGGATCTGGGCTCTGTCAGCTCCAGTTGAAGGGACACCACAGAGCCCAAAAAGCCAAAAGGAATAATATCAACTCCTACTCACACCGTAATTTCCACCTTCCAATTTTATTTTATTTATTTATTTATTTTAATTAATTTATTTTTGGCTGCGTTGGGTCTCCGTTGCTGCGCGGGCTTTCTCTAGTTGTGGCGAGTGGGGGCTACTCTTCGTTGCGGTGTGCGGGCTTCTCATTGCAGTGGCTTCTCTTGTTGCGGGGCATGGGCTCTAGGCACGCGGGCTTCAGTAGTCATGGCATGTGGTCTCAGTAGTTGTGGCTCGTGGGCTCTAGAGTGCAGCCTCAGTAGTTGTGGCGCATGAACTTTGTTGCTCTGCAGCATGTAGGATCTTCCTGGACCAGGGCTGGAACCCGTGTCCCCTGCATTGGCAGGTGGATTCTTAACCACTGCTCCACCAGGGAAGCCCCTGATTTTATTTTTATTTATTTGTTTGGCTGCACTGGATCTTAGTTGCAGCACGCGGGATCTTTGCTGCAACATGTGCAACCTTTTGTTCCCGCGCAGGGGCTTCTCTCTAGTTGTGGCCCACAGGCTCTAGAGCACACGGGCTGGGTAGTTGCAGTGCGTGGGCTAAGTTGCCCTGAGGCATGTGGGATCTTATTTCCCCCACCAGAGATGAACCCGCATACCCTGCACTGGAAGGCGGATTCTTTACCACTGGGCCACCAGGGAAGTCCCCATTATGTTGTTTTGCCTTTTAGAATTCCAACGAACTAGGTTCTTAACCTGGGGATTTAGGGAATATGAATCCCTTATAATTGCCCAAAACATCATGTGCCTATGCACATATGCCCTATTCTGAAAGAAAATCATGGCTTTTATTACATTTTCATGGGTCAGAAGGCTTTGCCTTGCACTGTCTCAGGACCAGGATACACCCTAACCCCTCATCCCCCTCCATCCCTTATCTTGTCTGGATGCCTTACATTCTACATCAGGCCTTACCATCTCCTGCCTGGGCTATCGCCATCCATAGCCTCCTGCATGGTCTCCCTAGTCCAAACTCTCCTCCTTTCTGTCCACTCTTTGAGCATGCAAATGGCATACTATTTTTCCACTGTAAAAATTCTTCAATCCCTCCCAGTCACCTGAGGATGACATATAAAATCCCCAGGGACTGCAATGCCCTGGCATCTGATCCCCTGCCCTATCTCATCTCTCAACCAATATCCCAGTCAATACCAATCCCTTTCCACCCCACTCATTCTTCATGCCTCATGTCACATGCTGCCTCCTCCAAGAAGCCTTCCTTGACTGCCCCAGGCAGACCCAGGTTTCCTTCTTGGTTCCTTGCACTTGGGGGCTACCTCCATGATAGCTTAGGTCCCTTGTATGCCCTGTATTGCCTTCAAATTTCCCTGACACCTCCCTGCTGGCCTTTGAACTCTTTCAGGGCAATTGACCGTAGGGTTTCACTTTTGTGAGCCAGCACTTGGCATGGGACCTGGCACACAGAAGACACTCAGTAAGCATTTGTTGAATGACCTAATGCCCTTTGTCAGAAGGGAGTGCAAAGGAGTCTAGGTAAATCCATGCTGACTTCCCTGTACAGTACCTGTACTTATTGGAAGCGGAGCCTCACCTTCTTAAACACAAGAGAGAGAAAACCTGTATTTGTGTGTGTGGGGGGGGTGTGTGTGTATGTGTGTGTGTGTGTGTGTGTGTTTGGAGACAGCATGCTGCACTGCCTATGGAGTTAGGCAAATGTTGGTTTCTTATTTGACCCTGCTGCTAACTGGCTGTGTGACCTTGACTAAGTTGCTTTCCCTCTCTGAACCTTAGTTGTCCCCTCTATGAAAATGGAATAATGCATCTTCCTCACAGGGTTGCTGTGAGATTAAAGGAATTAATGCATTGAAATGGCTAACTCCATGCCTGGCACATTGGCAGGGGCTAAACAATGTGGGTTCCCTTCCCCCTCTACTTGAGTTTGCAAACCTGTGCTGAGATTTGTTATGGGAACCACAAGGCTTGAGTTTGTATCTATTTCAGCATATTTGCAAATGCATTTCTTCCTAATTTGTATTTTGATCGTATGAACAGTTGTATGCAATTCAGGGTGATGATGCGTGTTTATGTGTTTACGTTTGTCTTGGTATGGACAGTGGCATACACTGGAAGTGTGTACACACACTGAGAGTTTTGTGTGGCTGTGTTGGTGGGTGGGTGTTGCATGTTGAATGAGCGTGTGGAATGTGTGTGGAATTAAGTGTGTGTTGTGTGCTACCTATGAGGGTGGGGGTCTGAGCGTATGGGAGTGGGGGAAGGGCTGGTCTGTTTGTGTGGCATTATGTGTGTGAAGGCTGTGTAGACCAGCACCGTCGCATAGAACTTTCTGCCTTGTCCAATAGAGTAGCTATTAATAAGAGCACATGTGGCTATTGAACACTTGAAGTGTGGCTGGTGAGATTGAGGAACTGAAGCTTTAATTGGATTTAATTTTAATTAATTTAAATGTAAATAGTCACAGGTAGACTATTGACAGAAACCTCAAACTTGTTCTCCACAGACCAAGTGATGTGCTTCTCCCTCCCTCTTATCATGGAAACCCATCCATCGCGTTCCGACCCCAGCAGGGAAATAGACCCGCTGGAGCCCCGCCCGCGCGTGTATGCGCGTGTGCGCGCGTGAGAGACGTACAGAGGGGGCTGCTACCGCCTCCCCCCAACCAGCTCCCCCCTCCACCCCCCGCAAGTCCCCAGGCGAGCAGTGAATCAGCCTGACAATGAGGTGAGTCATTCATGAACTGCTCTGGCCGACCCAGCAGGCGGGAAGCTAACGTCAGCCAGCCTCCCAGTCCTACCCCCCAACCCCCCGGTGGGATCGCTCAACCCCACGCACTGCAGATGTTGAAGAAACTGACGCGGGCGGATCAAGGCACTAAAGCTCATCTCCTTGGCCCCTCCCTTTGGTTTGCAATCCATTCATCCTCCAGCCCCTTTCTCCCCTCCGGTGGCATGTGAATCATCACAAGATCTACGCCTCCAGTCCAACACCCACCTCCCCCAAGCCTCTCGCGGATGGTCTTCTTCCAAGGT